ATTCAGTTAAGGTAAAAAAAAAAACTGCATATAGAGCTGCTTTAAACTTATGGCAAAAAGAAAGTGTAACTTATGCAAACAAACAAAGACTGCATATTGTAATTTCTGCATTTCTGCAAAATGTTATACAAGTTAAATAAGACAGCATTTTAAACACAGACCGTCTTTTTATCCTGTTAATCTTTTTAGCCTCTTTTACCGAAAAAACAATGGATTATTGATCCAGTTTTATAAATGAACAATAACATTTTCAATTCCATTTTGAGCGCGCACCACGTGCCTACATTTGACAAAACGAACTTGAGAGGGGAAAAGACGTGATATGTGAGCCGGCCCTTATAGAATAGCCATTTTGATGTCATCCACCGATCAGTCTGTGGAAGTCAAACACGCCTATTGTCTCCAAGTAACAAAAACCTGAATTTATGAAAACGATGACATCATGGGCATGCGTAATACAAGGTCACATGATCCCTAACTACCCGAACTGTCATACAAACCTTTCCCATTTGTACATTTTCATTAAATTTGTTCATAAAGCCGTTTTTTGTTGGCTGGTCTCCGTAATGCAAGTGATTTTAGGTTTCCTAAACCAACCCCCTCTATATAAACATGAACCTGCAATGCAGCTGCAACTGGCTAACTTCAAATCCACTGTGCTTTCTGTGTTGATGATAGCCTGCAGGCTGGATACACTGAACTCAGTATATTTGTGCCTGAGGGAATGAAATCTGACAGCGTGAGCCCAGAGGAATATCTAGCCGCACACTCACTCTCACATCCAAGTGTGAACAGCTCCTGTCACCAGGAAAAGCAGCAGAGACAAAGCGTAAAGACCCAAGTGACTCAGAATTTCAGTCCGTTGATTTCATGCAATAGCAGAATCACTTTTAACCGTCTGTCGGAGTCCTGTATTTACTAGGTTTTACCACCAGGGGGAAGTAAATGCATGGGTACCAAAACCAGACAGAGAGATAAAAGTACGTGGTAAACCAAAACAAGATTTTGCTTCAGTCATAGCCATGCCTTCATGGAATCTATACAAAGAACTCCACAGAATTGTCATTCAGTAAGCTTTACACAGTCACACTGCTGTGTGTATCTCATTATTACATATTTTGAGTAGTTTTATGCTTTTAGTATTTTAGCACAATAACCATGCACTCATGTTTTGTGCATTTTGCAGAATAGATTTAGCAATAACCACATCTTGGATACTCCTATCTTATTCATGGGTTGGTCAGAGGTGGATATGGAGGAAACAGACTAGAGAAAGGATAAAAATCAATGTAGACATGAGACATGGGAAACTAAAGAAATAAACTGAAGGAAAGGGCAAGACAGGGGAGTGGTGGAAAGGAACTGATTAAAAACCATATGATCAAGACCTCAGGCTGTCTTTCTCTTTTTCTCTTTACTCTCTCTGACTGCAGACTTTGGCTGTATATCTAAATTTAACCTTCAAGATACAGTAAATGAAGAGTTGAGATGAATACAGGGAGACCTTGGGCAACTGTGACAGGGGGACTTACTGTATAACACACTAAATTTCTGAAGTTTTTTAGTCAGCATGAAATTAAAATTAACAACTCTTATTTTTATGTAGGCCTTCACAGTATTTATCATAAATTATTTATATGTGAACAAATAAATAAATTGTGTGCTCTCATGATCTTTAATCAAGAAAACACTTCCCCTACCTCTTGCAACTAAATCTGTTCTCTTCTCTGATGATGACATGTGCACTACACTAGGGTGGTAAAATAATTTTCCCTTCTAGCAAACTGTCACTCACATGAAATTAGCAAATAACAACGATCCAATAAATTCCCACCACGCCACAACAGGGAAGAAAAAACTATTGCAACTTCTGCTTCTTGTCGACTTTAAAGCTAGGCAAGGCGATTTTCAGAGAGGCTAGCAATCACAAGCTAGCTTTGAAAGCATAAGATCCCACCGTCCCTTCAGAGCGTCTCCAAAGCCACGCCTCATTCAAAACACATGAACGCGTACAGGGAGCAAACAAAAGCATCACAAGAGATGGAGTTAAACTACCTCATGTCCCAAAGCACACAATATTACAATAATAATGAACATAAACAACTTAAAGAGCACTGACCTGTACACCTAAGCTGGAGATTTATTGCAGCTGTGATTGTGTTGCTTTTGAAAAGCATAAATCAGAGCCACAAACTGCTCCGAGTATGCTATCCACCTTATTTTTCCACTTAAAATAGTGATGGGAAGAAGAAAAAAACTTGGTTGACTTTAGGGAGCATATTCAGCTGTCAACAGGTGAAACGGGGTTTGACAACATGTTCCGCACTGAAATTTATTGACATAAAGGTGAACTGTTCAGTAATTTTACCTACTAATTTAAGTATTAAGAAATTAAGTTAAGTTCCCCCAACATGACATTCTTTTATATTCAAAATTATTATCAATATTCAATTCAATTATCATTCTTTCTTATAATTTCATTATAAACATTGTTCTCAATGTAACTATTTACTATTACTTTTGGAACATATTTATGTTTTTAATACAAGAAGATAGCAGATAGATGTGTTGTAGTCTGAAGAAAAATGAAAAATATAACTAAATTTGACCCCAGTCCACTGATACAATGGCCTAAATGTATTCATTATTTTTCCAAACTAATGAATTAATCTGCCAAGCTGCTAATCAGCTTAAGAAAAGCTTGTAGAGACAGCCATCTAAGCAGACACATACTGTATGCTCAGCTCACAAAAGCCAGTGATAATTTTCTGAAAGAGCATATGTGAGGATGATAATAATGAGTATCATTAATGTATTGATTTATTACTCTGTATGTGGGTAGTGAGACAATACGCATGTTTTCTATGGCAGAAAGGACAGCCGGTGTTTATTTTTGTGCAGATTTTATCAAAGATGAGGTAATCTCTTTTAATCTGTTTTATAGACCATGGTCAGGTGGGATAAGAGTTTAGACTACTCAAACAACAGATTTACCCTTCCCTAAAATGTCAGACAGACCTGGTTTATCAAAGCATAGTTGTTGTCATCCTGAATGGATTAGGGATTTGTCACGCCTGATAAAAGCGATCTTACACGTTGATGGGATTTGATCCAAAACAACCCAGGGATAGATCATAGGTCTGCCGTCCAGCTCACCAGCTCAGGGCACCAATCCTGCTCAACTCAACAGTTGAGAACATCATGTCCAGCTCAAAGGTCCATACACCTTCAGCATGTCCACATTCCAGACACATGATTCACTAGCAAGGACAAATAGGTCTCAAATGTGATGGATAGCATCATGAGTTTTTTTGCGCATCAGTGACAGAATAAGATCGTTTCTCCAGACGTGCAGTGTCAGTAACAGCTATAAAGAACACTGTCAAAATATATTGTTGGTTTAACTTAAAAAAATAAGTAAGTTTATTGAAATGGAAAAATTGAGTTAATACAATGAAGGAGATTGATTTAATCATCAGACTCAAAATATTATGTTACTGTATCTGAACTAAATGAATGAAGTTGATTTGACAAAAGAAAAAATGTTGTGATTACAAATCATGAAAATATTTTTTTTACAGTGAACCCAAATAGTAAGTGAGTATTAGCTCAGAAGATTAAGGCAGTATTGTCTGTTTTGCAGAAAAGTATAAGTCTGGTTTATGCACAAGGTGTTTATTGTAGGAGAGGCATGCAGGGACCTTCAGATGGTTAATACTCCACATATGGACAGCTTGGCAAGCCGTGAACAGGTTTGCTTGTACTTAAAAGAGATGAAAAGGGATGGGGGTAGGCTGGCAACTTGGTAAGGAGTGCCATATTTTAAAGTCACTATGGGCGGGGGGTGGGGGTAGTGCATTTATTATACATTAATTATCATCGTGCACATCATTTCCTTATAAATTTGTGTGCCCTCATTATTTTAAGTGAAAATCACACATCCGGAGCAAGGCGCGACGCAAGTGTTCAGCCCGACGCAGTTATCATTTACACATCCTGAACCATGTTTAAACAGCAATGCATTTGCAACCAGTTGTGCACCAATGGGCATGCTAGTCTGCAACGAGGTGTGTTCAGGTGCATTGTTGGCATGTTTTTATTTTGAGGCAACTGAAATAGACTGCACCATTGACCAACAAATACCTGGTCTAAAGTCACTGGGTAATATTTTTTTTATTTTATTTAAAGGTAATTAGTAATATGAGCCCATAGCCAGGTGCACAATGCATGTACCCTATGCATGTGCATGTATTTTTATATTAAAAATAAAAGGATTACAATGTAAAAGATTATTATTGTGTACATAAGGATAAGGTGGAATCCAGGTTGTCCCGTAGATGGTCTGCTTGCGCACATAGGCTAAAACCTTGCCCGTTTCCTCTCTGGAGAAGCATTCAGTCTTTCCGCTTGCAAATTCCACCATGTAAATAGCAATCTGGAATGGCTGCAAAAATATGCAAAAACAAAAACAACAACAAAAACAGTACAGCTTGAGAAAGTCATGTGTCAATAGAAATGGGCGGCAGAAAATATGCCCAGGTCTAGGTGTCAATTGTTGGACAGAATAAATGTAGCATTTTTTGCCGTTAAGTAGAATAAATGTAGCATTTTGCCGTTAAATATCTGGTCTGAAAGGTAAAATGAAATGTCAGATTGCAACGAGAGAAGATGGGAAAGGGAAACGCCTGCGTGTAAAGTAGGTGAGACAATGAAGTCGGAGTTGTTTTTTTTTTAACATGACACAAAGCTGTGCGTGCCTAAAAAAGATGTCATGTTGACTTTGAAAGTGGATAAGCCATGTTCTTACAACGCAATTGAATAAGTTTCAGTAAACCTTGAGGCCAGAAAGGAGACAAAAACTTCGTGCGTCAACGGTACAGTCAACAGGTCCTTTTGTGTCTCTCCAGCACACGGAAGGTGAAGCGCTAGACGTCCCTCAAGCAGATCAGAGATACGCTATTTTAATGAAACGTAATAGCTGGCTGTATAGGGAACCACCATTATACGCTGTATATAGATGTCAATAATATCAAACTTAGTTAAAGTAGTGACTTATCTCGCACTTTGTTTTTGGAGGATTGCCAACAGAGCGTCAGCGCTCATGTTATGCTCTATACTGCTGACACTTAGCAGCGGATGGTCGGATGTCTCATCTCTGAGAAGCTGGCTGTGGAACAACAGATGAATACGTCGGACTTGGATATTAACCCTCATGGTTATAACAGCACATAATGCATCGATACGGTTCGCCACCCAAGAGCTGGCTTGGATTTCGTTTGCTACTTGGTAAGTGGCATTTTGTCTTATGTGTTACCGGCTGCAATAATGTGAGGTGTAGCTACAGTACCTGTATATTGGGCATATTTGTGGAAATGATGACAACTAAAACAGCGTGCTGCACGCGATAAGTTTTTTGACGATGTCTTATCGTTCACCCGGAATTCTATCATTTCATTTCCCACTTCTCTATTTAATGAAAATGAATGATGACGTCAATGATAAGTTCGAGGATGTCAAGCTTCAAAATCATCACGAACTTATCGTAAAACTATTTCTCACGTGCACCATTGCAAGATTTGATTTGATATTCATCCGTGCGTAGGCTGAGTTATTAGACATACATTATTTTTTTTTTTTGGATAAGTTTGGGAATAACAAGTTATTCCTTTATCTCAACTTTTATAACCAGGTAAGCCAGGTTATCAGACCAGGTGATAATTGTAATTTAGACTGAAGGAAAGTTTTCTCCCAGGCTGCAGGTGATGTCTGTGTAAATTCTGTAATTCTGACCCTAGACTAGTTAGCCATATTCACTAACTGATTAGTCGTATTGTGTTTTTGATTCTTGAAAATAGACTGAACTTAATTTTACTCGTGATAATGTGTGTCTGTTTGTACAGGATTATGTAGTACTTTTTGGTCTCTTGTTCTTGTTCATGGCTTTTCTATCCTCACAATTAGATTTAGTTAAATTGTGTTTACATATTAGGCCCTACTTCTTTGATGGCTTATCTTGAGGAAATGTCTGTGATTCAATCTGTTTCTACAGCCAAAATCTCCTTTTTCAATTGATTTTAAATTAAGTGTTTCCAATTCATATATGTTGCTATTATAATTAGAGCGTTTTTAGAGGGTCTGTATTTATATTATTACATTTTAAATGTACAATTAATTTCCATCCTGTCTAAAGGTTTTTCTCTATAGATTTCCTTCCTGTTGTTCAGATGAAATGTCATATGTCGAATAAACAAACGGATTCCCTTATAACAACCCCTCGCTAGCCAAAGGAACTCACATAGTGTGCAACTAGTTATTTTTTTTCACAGCAAGATTGACCACAAGATCATTAATTTTTATATTCTTTTCGGCAATATAAATAGTTTGAAATCCTTATAAAAAATAGTTTGACAGTGGAAACAAAGTGACTCTGCCAACCAAAGGGAATGCCTCTTATGTTCTGTCTGTGAGGTCCAGGGCCATAGTTATTAAATTCAAACTTCAAACTAACAAATGGGGAAGCTTTTATGAAGCTCACAGTTTATCAGTGAAGAAATTGAGTAGTATATCTTAAAATAATGTCAAATATTGTCTAAGTATTTGAATTTATGATGAGGAATACCAGAAATAGAGACCTGTTTACCTGATTTTTGAATAGGAGCCGTTGCATGGGACTGTCTAGGCTATTTGGGAACTGTCACTTGGCTGACTAATTTGCCATCTAGCCTCCAAACCAAGCCCATTACTGATTTCAGATAGTTCGCCATGTGCATGACTGTCCTAATGCTAGTGTTTTAAACAAAGATAAACAATGTCAGGAGAATCACAGATCAGTGGATTAGCCCAGTTATTATAATTGACTGTAGTAGCTGTCACACCACAGTGTTCTTTCATGTGTGGCCAACATGCTGGTGGTAACATATGCTTTACACGCTGAGTATTATGAGCTGAAGATAGCATGATGACCAGCCAAATGCAATGATGCAGAAAAAAATTTGGGTGTGGTATGTGATGATCATTTGCATTTAAACAAAAAAATATGACTTAATATTACAATCTCACTAGGGGTGCTAATGCACCATAGTGGATGGAGATCGCAGATGGACAGTGGGTGTCTGTAGCAAATTTGTATCATATCATATCAACATATCTTGAATTATCTTCATTTGGTTGCTTTTATCAGTGAGATTATATGTGATTAACTTGATTAATTTATGATTTTATCGATTAACAGTCCTAGTCTTTATTTAAACTCTTTTATGTACTCCGAATCGTGAGTGACCACAACGATACACCAGACGAGCTAGTCAGATAACAACTACAGAGCAATGTACTGCAGAAACAAGACTGCTATGATGTCTCAACAATAAAGTTTGAACGTAATTATTTAACGTAAAAACAGGCAGATGAAACAAGCTGGAATTATAAAAGATGTTGTCGTACACTAGCTCGCAGAGAGAAATGTCCAGGTGAAGATAAAAAGAGCTTTGTTGTTTGTACATGTCCCAGCGAATGATTAAGCTGACAGAGTCTGAGACTGCGGCATATTGGCTTGACTGCCACTGGAAGCCTGGTCATTAAAACTAACCCCTGCACGTCACACTGCTCCAAATCACTACCATATGGCTGGAAATGTTGGATCCCAACAGCTAAGACTCTCCCATGCTACTCTCTAATTTGTCAGAGCAAAATAGAAATTGTGGGGGCTCTGCAGGGCACTCGCCAACTCTTGCAGCTATTCTTTTATTCTTTATCTTAACCCTTTCTCATTTTGAGCGGTCTAAACCTGCTTTTGAGAGGTTATCGTCGTCCTCCATTACTTGCTCCATATCATTGACTCTGATTTGAGAGTGTGTAAACTAGATTTCTGCTTCATTGCTCTATATGATACTGTAACTTTGAGATGCATGGAGTTCGTGGGCTACAAGTAGGTGGACATCTCAAAAGGCAGCTTTGTATCTCTTGCCATTCTGAAAAGTCACAGGTCCAAGTCTCCCTCACATCTCAGCATGCACGTCACATGTGGATGAATGCAGCGCTTGTCTGGCGTGCTGTGTGGGTCAAGCCCCCCTCTTTTTCCCCCCTTCACATACTGGCTCACACAAAGTCCAAAGCACCCAGCCTGGAAACTTTAGAGAAATCCAGTATTCTGAGAACTTTTCTCCACAAGAGAAGCCACTCAAGTTTTACTATATTCTTTAATTTGGGGAAACACGGAGAGAAGTAATCAGCTAAAGACTGATGTTTGGTTCAAGGAGTGAAGAAGATCATCTCAATCTCCTCCGTGTTAACAAGTGAGATGTGGCGTTAGATTTATCGGTTGTGCTTGGATTGTGAGGCACGATGTTCTATTGGCGGCGGCATGGGTCTTATGAACTGGAAACTCTACCATGTACACAGAGTGAGCTGGGAGTGGAGAAGTACACCTGGACCTCCCTCATGGACATTACCCAGAAGTCTTGTGGTAAGAGATTTTAACTGACACCATTGAATGGTGTGAGACAGTTTGGTTAAATCATTATAAATTTTTTTGTAATCGCAAAATTGCAAAATTGTGTTTTAAAAGTTTTTTTTTTTGTTGTCAGTTTGAGGATATTTTATAAAATTGAAGATGGGCAGGATATGTGTTATACCATATTTCTCATGCCATGTTTCTTCTTACAAACAACGTTTTTCATTGAATGACTAGTTTTTCTCAGAGGGCCTATAGTTTACCCAAAAATGAAAATTTTGTCAGGTTGTTCCCAAACATACATGTCTTTCTTTCTTCTGAGGAAAACAAAAAATATTTAACAAATTAAGGCATTTTGCAAAATAATAAACGTGAGCTTTGAAATGAATGAAAATCTTAAATGCATCATAAAAGTAGTCCAAACAACTTTCCAAATCATCCTAAATATAACAGTTTTATGCGAGGGATAGGCTGAACCTTTTTATTTGCTGCAAATTTGGCCCAAAAAATCTGTGGTCATTTTGTGTTCGATTGAAAAAACAGGCTTTGCAATGCAAGACATTAAATAAATACCGTAATGTTATTTTTATTCAATTTTATTTATTATGTGTGTGTGTATAGTGTATGGTGGGTGGGGGTCCTGGTAAACCCTATGTCATAGGGATACAAATCTCCCCACAAAAATGGCAATATCGAAAATCTGTGTCCTTGTTTGGACATTTTTTTTTGGTCCCAATGAGGAAAGCAGTGTATAAATCTAGAGGGTTTTTTTTAATTATATGTAAAAATGCAGAAAGTTGTCTGTGATTGGTAGGTTTAGGGTTAGATGATAGAATATACAGTTTGTACATTATGGAATGTCCCCATAAAACATGAAAACCTAATGTGTGTGTGTGTAAATCTATGCCTTTACACTTGGGTATTGTCCAACAAAATGGCTTCTTTCTTTTTTAAAACCTTTGTTTTGGCTTTGTGTGGAGAACCACATGTTTGGTTTCCACTAAGTAGTCAGAAGGTACTGAGAGACTGTGACAGCAGAGTGCAGGGGGAGAGTGAGTTTTAGCTTGTCCAATTTGCTATCTTTACCATTTAATCTGTGTGCTAAGGACCCACTTTGAATGACCTTTGCCTCTGGAAATATTTTGACTAATCACACACTGTATCCCTCTTTGTCAAGCATATATTTATAGTCATTTCTGTTCCTCATAAGTTATACCAAAAAGTTTCCCAAATACATTGCGCATCTTCCTATGTATGGTTACATAAGCAGGTTGTGCCTCCCCAAACTCACGACATCGGATGAGCTAATTTTGAAATGTCAGGTTCTGTCTAATCTCATTTAAGTCCAAAAGGCAAGAGGATTAGTCAGCTAGGAATAAAGAATCGATAACAACGCCGCTTCCAGACCTTCAGCTGGTAATGGTTTGACATTCTCAGACTTTTCAAAACATATACTGGCGGCATCCATGGCATCAGCTTGTTTTTTTTTCCCAATGGAGGCAAAAGAAAACCAGTATAATGTAAAATATTTCCGCTCTAGCACACAGTAGATGAGCGCTCCTCAGGAACTTCAGCAAACAACTGGGTACACAGAGGGGCATGAAAAACAGTTCCTGGCATTCTGCACATTCCTACCAGAGGATTTTTAGGAGGTGCCCTCTACCTCTCTGACTAAAGAAGGAGAAATGGAATATTCTTCATCGAGTGATGGAGGTGATGTGAGATGGAATGTGTTGAAAATAATATCTAGAGTTTAGCTTGGACTTAGCTTGGTGATGTTCTACTTTCAGGATGTTGGAAAATACACAGATGCCTTGATGAAGTAGGAACTGTGCACCTTTTAAATACCATGGTATATGAAAAAATTAAACATTTACAACCATACATTGTATGGGCGTTCCAAGTTCTGTCTTTAATATATATATATATATATATTTAATGCCCTTTATGCATAGATTTTATTGTTTTACACTTATCCCAAGTCTTTCATTCTTAAACTACTGTATGACATTTTTAAACTATGATAATCTAAATACAAAGCAAAATAATCATAAACAATTTCAATATTTAGTGTGTGAAAGTGTATAATAATAATAGTAATATATATATATATATATATATATATATATATATATATATATATATATTTAATGCCCTTTATGCATAGATTTTATTGTTTTACACTTATCCCAAGTCTTTCATTCTTAAACTACTGTATGACATTTTTAAACTATGATAATCTAAATACAAAGCAAAATAATCATAAACAATTTCAATATTTAGTGTGTGAAAGTGTATAATAATAATAGTAAAAAAAAAAATATTTTAAAAAAATATTTAATGAACTAGTTTGGGTATTATAACAGTATTATAGCTTTTTTTTATAACAGGTTAAGACTTAAAAAAAGACCCCCCCCCCACACACACACACACACACACAACAGTATCAATATACCATCATAGTTGCATTGTATTCTTACTATTTTGTAAGAAATCAACCTATAGGAATGTTTCTCAGTAATATTATAATATTGCATCTATTTCTTGTGCTGTTGATTATGTTGTTGTCTGTAATCGTCAATGGCTTCAGTTCAGCCAGTTTTGAGTTGGCAGCATTTATAGAAAGGAGAATGAGGGGCGTAATCAATGAAAAATAATGCACTTTTTCACATTAAAACCTCCGGGTTTCTAGGTAAGTGGAATACCACTGCCCTCACTGAAAGGAAAATCAGCCAGTCTGCCAGCAAACTTGTAATGTCTGGAAATCTTAGATTTCCGCCAACCCTTTTCGCTCTGTCTGTTTTTTTTATATTTTTCCTCTTTCTTTTCCTTTTTGTGTTATTGTCAGTTTTCAGTTAATTCCTTCCTCAAGATTTAATATTTATTGTAATTTGAATCATCTCTCCTGGTATAGTTGTTAGTCTTTTATGGACTTGATGGCATGGCTGAAGGAAAGGACCATGGCTAACTCATATATATGTTGTAAAGTGATACATGCAATTTTACTTGATCAGCATTTCATGCAATTAAGAAGTTGCACAAATTGTATCACTCCACTAGCTCTTGTTTGTGGTTCTCAGTTTTTTCAATCGCTCTCTCCTACATATCCCCCCAGCTGCCTCATCTACTGCAGTACAGTATTGCTGTTATGTCTTTTGGCTTATACCCAAGGACATATCCCCCACAGGCTTACTGTGTTCAGAAGAGTTCCTCCATGTAATGAAATGTCTCAGTCATATATCTCCTTAATTAATCTACTCTACATTACTCCTGGATAATTGATACTTCTTTATAGAGCTGTTCAGTTTGTATCCCTGATTTCTCTGTTATTTCAAATTAGGTTTTAAAATGTTTTAGTTGGTTAGCTAGCTTTGTCCAGGCTGAAAAATGATTTAGAAACACAATTTATGAGACAGTTGTTGACAGATTTCATTGGGGATTTCAAATGTGAAATTTAATCGTAAGCTTGGTGGACAGTTTTGGAGAATTTGATGTTTCCCCATTCAAAGCTGCATTTGTACTGTATGCCCGAGAGACATTTCAAAGATGGCCACCGAGTGAAATGACTTGTCTTAAAGGGACTTTGGTAATATTTCCACAGACCTTATTTCACTTATAAATCCAAAATCCATAGGAAATTCCCAAGGGAATCTATAGCAATTAGCCTTCATGTGCGATGACATTTGCCGTTGTTCGTCAAATCCAGTCGTTTAAATAGGAATCCACACAAACGAGAACGTCGCATGAGGGCAAAAGTTTTCCCCACACAGATTTCGGGTTCAGGTTGGTCTCACAGATTAGCCATGTAGGTCAAAAGAAAGCTGCTTGTTCTGAAAGCTGTGCTTTATACATTGCCACACTATTGACAAAGGACAATTAACCTTTTTTGTTTGTGAAAATTGACCGCACCTTTCCAGTTTGACCTATAAATTGACCTCACTTATAATTCCCTCCCACATACAGTTGACCTTTAACCTCTGTGTGTGTGTGTGTGTGTGTTGTTTCAGGTGAGAAACCTGCACAAGAGGAGAAAACCGGCATCTTGTGCCAGCATCCCATCTGTCCTGAACGGCAGCTTGCTTCCAAGGTAAACTCTCCGCAGGAGTTACTTAAACTGTTAAATCTTCACCACTTAGTGTTTTCATTAACACTTACGGACCCAAGAAATTGCAGGTAAGAAGTTAAGAAGCATAAGAAGATGGAAATAAAATATTATCATCCAATCAAATTGAAATTTCTCCCTTTTGTGAGTAGCCGCAGGTGTACCGATGAGTTGAATCTCTGTTTTGGAAGAATTCAATTTAAGAAAAATTATGGTGCATCCATGTTCTTCTTTATTTCCTGCACACACTTCGAGAGAATTTTAGAGGTGACTGTAGGATCAGATTTGGAGATGATGATGTAAATTTGAGTATAATCATTTGTCATCATTTGCGCTTTGGGACCTGACAGGAAAAACAAAAGTTTTCTTTGTCTTTGTGCTGTTGAAAGTTCAGTGGCGAGAGGACGGATGTGATGTTATAGGTGGCATTTCACCAGCCTTCTCTTGGGAGTCTGGGGATACGTGTATGGAAAAGTGAGATTACTGCTCGCTTGTTTTCGTTTATGAGGCTGTTCGCACATAAACACACTTAAACAAAACACATTATGTCTCTCCCTTCCTGTCTTTTCTCTCTCTCCCTTTATACGCTGTCTCTGTTCCTATGTCTCTCTCTTTTTATCTGTTAAAATGTAATACATCTAGTCTGGTGACACTTTGATTACTTGTCATTGTCATAGGTTCATTGCCAAACTGGTTTAGCTAAAGAGTCAGTGTCCCTCCTTCTTTTAAATATCAGTCACTCACATTTTTTCCTCATTGGCAAACCCGGTGCCTATTCATTACCCACACTTTCCACTTTTGTGTTTTAACAGGTGTTCCTTTACCATTAAAATTGACAGTTACAATTCTGCCGCAGTAATGTGCTAATGTATTGCTCTGCAGGTTTAATATAAACAGTGTTTGAATTGGACAAAACCAGAGACCAGTATATATACCATATTTATACTGCAAAGGCTCTCCTGCAAAGGGTCAAGAGCTGAAAATACACAAAGATGATATATATATACTGTATATAAAAGAAATGAAGCATGTTCATTGGAATTCAATGGCTCTATTGACTAAGCTTTTAAATTATTATTATTATTGATAATGAAAAATAAAATCTGTTTACAATGTAACAGGCTGCCACAATAAGATATGATCACCTGGCAATTCATATATATATATATATATATATATATATATATATAAATTTCACCCCTAAAGATCACATAAAAACAACTGAAGCGTTGCTTACATGTTAGTCAGATAGTTATAGTTCATGTTATTATCATTATCATTTGTCTTTGTTTTCTACAAACTGTGGATACAGAGAACCCCTTTATAAAGGAAACCGATAAAGTTTGTTTACACGGAGCATGTCTAAATCATTATAGGACATCACAGTGATGTTTGCATGTTTTGTTTTTTTTTGGTGTCCCACATTTCCTGTCTGCACATCTCTGCCAGTGTCCTCTGAACTTTAGAGCTTTTGAAAAGAGTCTCTGGGTAAACATTTCTGTTTCTAGTCTTCTCTGATCGAAGCCAGACTTAACTTAATGTAACCAATGTTTTTATCTGAACCAGGAACACACTTATGTCATTACCTTTAAAATTTGGAAAGATGAGAGGAACTCTTGTTTATTTGAAAAGAACGAAGGAGTTTTTAAGTGTGAGAATGTGCGTGTTTATGTTTTGAGGTCTTTGTGGCTCATCTCTTGTGGGCTAACAAGTTACATGTAGGTTTGATCTTCCTGTCTCCTGCAAAGGGTCAAGAGGTGAAAATACACAAAGATGATGACGATAGTTTGCTGTTGACGTTTAACTGCTCATCCTGCTAGCTGACATTTAAAGGTGAAGTGTTTATTTTTTCAGTGTTCAAAAACTCTTATCTCAGAGACACCTACAAGTAAGCAATTCATAGATTATTTCCCCTGAAAACAAGTGTAAATACTGTGGCTCTGTGGAGTCACCATCATGTTTTACTTTGAGTGTTTGTTTGACTTTGAGCATCCCGAACAGCAACATTGACTCAACCAATGGCATGAGTTTGGGGGAGGGGCTATGTGTTTTTCTGACCAATGTTAGCCAGTAGCAAGAAATTACACAATTCAGAAATCAAAATTGACAATTCATATATTTTTTTATGGAATATTGCAGTATTTATTATGATGAATGATTTATGTGCACATCATTTTTTTTTAATTCATGTGCTATCGTAATCTTTAAACGAAGTAACTTCCCCTTAGCAACAACATTTCTTCATAATCCCGCCGTACATTTATTCTTGTTTGAGAAGCTGTTGCTCTCGGATATGTCACAATAGGGAAGAAAAGAAAATCGCAACTTCCGTTTCATGCCGACTTTAAGTTTGGCTCTTTTCTTGTGTGTAAACATACTACGTCGCAAAACTAGATCCAATACAGATTAATTCCACACAATATTAACATAGAACAGGATCTGTAATATTTTAACACAGCATGAGAGTTTGTGTATACATATGCCTATTTATTTCGATCATTTATGTGCGTGCATTTTCATGATTGTGTGCACGTGTAAATGTGTGTGTGTGTGTGTGTGTGTGTGTGTGTGTGTGTGAAAGTTGCGAAATAGGCCGACCGTTCTCTTCCCTTACACAAACACAGACTAAACAGTGACTGCACTATAATAAACACAGACATTAGCAGCTGACTGTAATTTGTGTTGTAAAAGATGAATGTGCTGCTAACCAAGACATTACTAAACTGGAGCCAGAACAGAGTATTATGGGTTAGCAGATTGGATAATGGTGTCTTTCAAACACTTTCTTGATGAAAATACCAGAATGCCGCTCTGTCTCAACTTAAGGTTGCCAATGTCTTGGCTTCAAAGGCTTGATTTTAGTTAGAAAAGTAGGTTAATTGCTTTTCAGTCTTCAATAATAATATTTAATCTGTTGGCTTGAGGTAAACCTGGTGGTCGTGATGGATTTTCCTAACAATGTAATTTTAGAGACACCAAGAAGCTAACAACCATGAAAAGAGCTTATTAAAAGAATCGTTCAACCAAAAATGGAAAAATATCATACTTTCTTCATAGTTCCAAACCAGTATGACTTTATTTCTTCGGAAGAACACGATATTTTGGAAAATGTCAGTGTTTTTGTTCATACAGTGAAAGTCAATGTTGTTTGGATCTCAATGCACTTCATAATACCTTCTTTTGCGCTTCTTTTCTTTTAAAAATACGTTCTCACAGTCGTTAATATGATTGAAGGTATTATTGCAGCTTCTGCAGCAGATCTGTGCTGTTTCTCCTCTGTCACTGCTTTATCTCTCTCAGCTGAGTGTGAGAACAGACTGAACTCACACCTGTAACACAACAATCTTGGGAGACACACATTCAGTGCTGCCAAGGACAAAGTAACTGAAAAGTGGAGTAAATCAGTGTCCGTGGAATGCTTTGGATTGTGAAGTCTCGCTAACACTTAAAACCACCAGATGGAGCAATAATGCTCACTTTGTGTGTGTGTGTGTGTGTGCTTGGAAAGCCACATTTAAATGCAGATTTTAACTTTAATTTAATAATGTTTAATAAAACTGAATTACAGTTATTTTAATGATTGCAAAAATTATTAATATAGCCGCTAATATCTCTGCAGGAAATCAAACTATATTATCTTTTTATCTTTCTTTATTTTCTGTTAAGAGTTAAAGGTGCTGCAAGTTTTTGACTGTACTAAAGCATACAAATACCATAATATGTTTGCAGATATTTAGGAAACATGCTGAATTCACATATAAAAAACAATTCAGAGAATTATTTCTGTGTTGGGATGTCTGTTTTTGTCTAGGTCTGTGCGATACCGCACGTTGCCAATTTACCCAATAGTATTTCGCCACCATAGGTTGCCAGTTGGCTTAAAACACATCTTGGAGCCATGGAATCGAGCGAACAAACTGGGTCAGATTCTGCCTGACCTAAAAAGCCTCCGCAAATATAAAAATCTCTATGAATGGGAGCATATTAAAATGCAATATCAACTCATCAGCTTATAGTGTGTAAGTCTCCTCTCATTCCATTGTCAGTTGCGCTTGTTCCTGTTGCTTGTCCTCAATCTGGCAACCTGCGTGAGTGTCAAGTAGTGTCAAGCAGGAGGGCTCTCTCCAATATTTGGACTCCAGTACCCATTTCAACCACTAGCTGTTTGATTGTTTGAAAATACTGAATAACCTTTCCCGTCAAGATTGGCTCAACCAATGATGTGAATTCGAGGTGTGTTTGAGTGACCAATGGAAGTCCTCAGTTTTTGTGAAACCTTTTTGGTAACAGTCATTGTATATAATACTGTTTTATCCCTCTAATGGAGGTAGAAATGACAAAATTCAACTTAAAATGAATTGATTTGACCGTTATTCTCCCATCAGACAACCTACACTATATTACCTCTCATATTTCATGCTGTACCAGCTGTCAACATTAGGATCTCTAATTCTCTCCTTGTTTGTTCTCTTTTGCCAAACATAGTGCTCCGCTCTCTCATTCACTCCTTTAAAGGAGACTTCTGATGTCACCAGGCAGGAATTAAGACTCTAGATGAACAATAAGGTCAAAATGCATGACCTGTAAAGTGTAAAATTACAGGCTTTTTCAGCTCTGCATCAGGCATCGAAATCTTCCTCGCCTCAGGCATAGGCACGTGTAATGACGACATGCATCAAAATAAAGCCAAATGTCGTTTCAATTTCAACTTTAAACAATTCTATCTAGTTATTATATAATAAAAAATTAAGATCTTAAATTGAATTAGATATTGTTTAGATACTACATATCATATATATACTGTACTTTATATTGAATGTAATTTACTAATGCTTACTCAACCTCACAGTGTGACCCTGTTTAACCCATGACATTTTTTAAATGCTTGAGTGCTTCCCGTCATTCACTGAGAGAAAAACAGTGAGCTCACACTTGTAGTCCTCTTACGCATCCCAGTCCTCATAAGGGGAAGGCAGAGAGATGTT